TGTTGATGGCAGTCGGTGCCTCCCTAATTCCAAATCAATAAACCTTCAAGGGAAAGGAAACTAGGGGGTGTGTAAGGGAGCGGCTGTGGACAAGGTGTTCTGAGAAGGCTAGGCGCCAGGCTCCCTCCTGGCCCACGGTTCCCATTCACTACAGCAAAACAAAGCCTGGGAACAGACAACGGAATATTCTGCAAACAACTCTGTTGGCGTAAGTAATTTTTACTATGGCTAACAGTTATAACAGCTCTACTCCCATATCAGCTGTTGGTGTTCATCTCTCAGAGTGCCTAATTTGTGAATTAGACATTATCACAGGAGGGTGGTTGCAGTCAAGACAGCATGCTTCGGGTTCAGTCTATTCTCAGTGACAGGCACCTGCTGGGGGGTTGTGGACGGATCCTTCACAAACTCATCCCACCACAGGAGTTCCTGCTCCCACCAGGGTTGGAAGAGGGGCGGTGTGACCACGTGGAGGGGCAGTGAGCGAGTGGCTGTCCACAAGGCAAGGAGAACAGTCTGGGACTGACCTGTCCCTCATGGCTCTGAGAAGATGCTAACCCCCCAGCACCTTGAACTTAGCCTTCCAGCCCCTAGCACAGTGGAAAATACAATTTCTATCACTTGGGGCCTGCGTCATGGTGTACACTGGCGTCCCACTTGGGCACTGGCTGCTCCACTTAGGATCCAGCTCCCTACTAATGGCAGGGGGAAATGGCTGAGTGCTTGGACTTCTGCACTCACATGGGACACCCAGATGAAGCTCTTAGCTCCTGGCTGCTGGCTTCAGCTTGGCCCAGCCCTGCTGTTACGGTCAGCATATGAACCAACAGATGGGAGCTAGTACGCTCTCTCTCTCTCCCTCCTTCTCTCTCCCCCCCAACTCCCTTTTCCTCCCTCTTTCTCTGTATCTCTTTCAAATAAATAAACCACTTTCAATCTGTAGCATTTTCTGTAGTAGCACTGGCAAACTAGTACCTGTCTTCAGAAATCAAAGATACGGAATTCATGCCCAAGGAAATTTTCATGGAATAAAGCACAGGGTTAGCTGACTTCACTGGCAAAATCAACCAAACCTCCAAGAAGAATTAATACAAATTCCTTACATCATCTTTCTAAAACCTTGGAAGAGGGGAAAGCACCTCCTAATTCATCTTCAGAGGCCACCACTCCCCTGACACGAGTGTCAGATGAGTATCACAGGAAAACTGCAGATGGCTCCCCAACAAGATACCAGCGAATCCTCCAGAAGCAGACGAAGAAGGATGCATGCCCTGATCCAGGGGGATTTAGTCCAGGAATGCAAGTCTGGGTTCAGCAGTTGCAAATCAGTTAAGGAAACCCGCCCCATCAGGAAAAACAACACAGTGACAAATCGTCTCAAAAGCCAGCAAAGGCATCTAACCTCAACATCGCCTCATGCTAAAAGCTCCACACATCAGAACACATCATCTCCTTTTTTAAAAAAAAGATTTATTTATTTATTATTGCAAAGTCAGATATACAGAGAGGAGGAGAGACAGAGAGGAAGATCTTCCATCCATTTATTCGCTCCCCAAGCAGCTGCAATGGCCAAAGCTGAGCCGATCCGAAACCAGGAGCCCGGGGCCTCTTCTGAATCTCCCATGTGGGTGCAGGGTCCCAAGGCTTTGGCCTGTCCTCGACTGCTTTCCCAGAACAAGGAATTTTCGATAGGAGCATGCGTGCACACCCCATGCATGGCTGGCATCACACTCAGGGGTCGGAGTTTGAACACTTTCCCTAAAAACTCAAGACCAAGATAAGGATGTCTGCCAGCAGCATGGGGACTCCTCATCGCAGAGGTTCAAACCAGGGCTGCTGAGCGAGAAACAGCAAGTACAGGCTTCCAGAGGAAACACAAGGATATAAAGTGTTCCCACCTGCAGGGGCCAGGCTCTTTACAGTGCTAAAATGGACATCAAACAAGTCAACAGGGCTGGTGCGCTGATTCAACTAAGCCTCCCCTTTCAGGTGCTGGCATCCCAATATAGGCACCATTACATGTCCCAGCTGCTCCACTTCCTATCTAACTCCCTGCTTGAGGCCTGGGAAAGCAGTAGAGAACGATTCAAAACCTTGGGATCTTGCACCCACATGGGAGATCTGGAAGAAGCTCCTGGCTCCTGGCTTCAGATCAGCTCATTTCTAGCCATTGCAGCCATTTGGAGAGTGAACCAAAGGCTGGAAAAGATTTCTGTCTCTTCTCTCTAGTAAGGTCTACCTCTCCAATAAGAATAAACAAATATTTTTTAAAAACCAGGTGAACAACTTTCCTGGGAAAGTTCTGCCTCCTGTCTGGCCTCCTTCCTATGAACACTGGCATGCATCAAGGCCCCCATTTGCCTGGCACCATCACACAGTCCCACTTCCCCCTGTGCGGGAAACCCTGCCCGTCCTCCCCACCCCATCCCACCCTCTTTTCTGTTTTTATCTTGTGAGCAGTGCTCCACTGTTCAGTGCCCTTGAATTCTCCCTGGTGGTGCTGGCATCACTCTCTGTCACCTCAGTGGGTGAGCTAGCAATTCTGGATGCCCACAACCCAAGGTGGGTCAAGCACCCCCACTGACTCCTCTTGGCAACAGTCATGGTGCTGGCCGTGGCATAGGCACATGGCATAGGCACGTGGCATAGGCATGTGATAGAGGTGTCTCCTTACAGAACCCCCAACATTTAACCACCAGGAAGCCCCCCTAGCCACCTAGGCCAGTCCCACCTTTCCCACAACCACACCTCCATACACCCTAACTGGACTCATTTTCATCCTCTCGGTGGCACTAACATTAGGCCCTGGGGCTAAAGACCTGATGTGGGAGACACAACTACTCACAGCTTGGCACAGGGCTGTAACACACTGCGGGGTGCCGCCCCTGGTCTCCCAGCTGCTGGCAGCTCCCCCAAGCATACACGCACACACAGTCTCCACCCCGTGTCCTGGCATGGGCTTCCACGCACACCAGCATCATCAGAGTTGTCGTCCCAGTGTCACCCTCTGAGACCCTGCAGTTATACAGCCTGTGGAATCCAGCGAGCAGAGCTGGACTGGCAAACAACTCACGCTGAACCGGGACCTCAGTGCCTGCTCCGCTTCACGTTCCATAGGGGCCGCCTTCTCAGCCACGTGAGCTACAATGGTGGAAGGAAGACAGGAGCATCCAGGAACTTGCTGCTCCGAAGATGCTTAAAAAAAAAAAAAAAAGATTTATTTTTATTGTAAAGGCAGATTTAGTGAAAGAGAAAGATCTTCCACCTACTGGTTCATTCCCCAAGTAGTTGTTACAGCCAGAGCTGAGCCGATCTGAGCCAAGAGCTTCTTTCAGATCTCCCAGGTGGGTACAGGGGTCCAAGAACTTGGGCCATCTTCCACTGTTTTCCCAGGCCACAAGCAGGGAGCTGGATGGAAAGTTAATGAGCCAGGACACGAGCAGGCTCACATACAGACCCCAGCACTTGTAGGCAGAGGATTAACCAACTGTGCCAATGCACTACTCTCCAAAAATATTTGTCTCTTGTCACATAAGGGTTAACACACACACACACACACACACACACACACACACACACAGTCACTTTTCCAGAATGCACTAATGGGGAGAACAAAAAAAAACAAAAACAAAAAACCCAAGGTTTTGTGCATGGAACAATATTTGAGGTCCCTCCAACTTTGTGATTTAAGTTTCACGGGGTCAGTCTGGGGGGTACTGCCATAAGCTGCCACCTTCAATACCAGCATCCCATATAGGTGCTGCTTCCCATTCCAGCTGCTCCACCTCCAAGCCAGCCCCTTCTGCTAACTGCCTGGAAAAGCCGAAGATGACCCAAGAACCTGGGTCCCTGCCACCCTTGTAGGAGACCCCTGAGCTCCCCGCTTCAGCCTGACCCACTCTGGCCACTGTGACCATTTGGGATGGTCACAGCAGATGGAGACATCTTGCTCTCTGTAACTCCCCCTTTCAAAATAAATAATGCTTTAAAAATATTAAGAGACAGGGAGAGCAAGCTCAAAGTAATACTCCCAAAAGACTCTGGAGTTCCATGCATCACTCACAGCGCTGTGAACGTCACACTAAGCGGTCCCCATGCCCACAGGCCCTCCCACTGACACCAAGGAAGAAGGAACTCCAGTGTGATACGCAGAGTGGGGCAGGTATGGATTTGAACACATCTTCTGCACCACTCCATTTCAGAAGCCCTTTTTCAAGTATCCCCCTTGGAAGGCTGGAAGGCTCCATAGCCAACCAAAACACTACAAGTGACTAGAAGTTGGCATAGAAGGGGGCGGGAAGGAGGGCCAACACTCGGCAAAAGAACCTCGACGTTGAACTGGCAGAAAGATTGTGGTAAAGTTACCAAAAAACCCTTTAGGTTCTGCCACCTACCTTGGGCTCCCCTGAGGCAAAATCCAGCAGTACCCCGTTCTCCTGAGGTGGAGCAAAACCCTGGGCGTTCCAGAACCTTCCAGAATTCGCTCTTGCAACCTGACTTGGCCTAAGCAGGCCTGAGTGCAGTGTGGCAAGAGAGGGCAGTCAGAATCCTTCAAAGTGGTGCCAGGCAAGGGACCCATCCTTTCTGCCTGGCACCTGGGACTGCGGCCAACGGGGATACCAAATCCGCGGGGAAGAGGTGTTTTTACGGTTTGGGGTCTTAAAAAAAAAAAGAAGTTCTGTTCCTAAAAGTACTTGCCGACGACACACAGGCTAACAGGACGCACAGGTCGCGAGCGCCGGTGGCGGGAGTGTGGGGGGTCAGGTCGTCTCAAAGTCGGTGCTGTTCCCACTCGGACTCGGGATGGCAGCACCGGCACCGGGCGGTGAGCGGGGCGCAGGGTCCGGAAGGCGCCGCGGACCCCGGGCCAGGGCCAGCGCCCGCCCCGCAGGCCCGGGAGGGCGGCGCGGCCGCCTCTCACCGCCCCGGGGAGTGGTTCCCGCGGGCCGGCCGGGCGGGGCGGCGCGTTTAAGGCGCCGGCCGGCCGGAGCCGCCTCACTCGCGCCCCGCCGCCGCCGCGTCCCGCCATGGAGCCGCCGGCTCTGCGCGCCCTGCTCCTCGGCGCCGCCGGGCTGCTGCTCCTGCTCCTGCCCCTCTCCTCTTCCTCCTCTTCGGAAGCCTGCGGGCCCTGCGAGCCGGCCGCCTGCCCGCCCCTGCCCCCGCGGGGCTGCCCGCTGGGCGAGACCCGCGACGCGTGCGGCTGCTGCCCGGTGTGCGCCCGCGGCGAGGGCGAGCCGTGCGGGGGCGGCGGCGCCGGCAGGGGGCACTGCGCGCCGGGCATGGAGTGCGTGAAGAGCCGCAAGAGGCGGAAGGGTAAAGTGGGGGCAGCAGCCGGCGGCCCGGCGGTGAGCGGCGTGTGCGTGTGCAAGACCCGCTACCCCGTGTGCGGCAGCGACGGCACCACCTACCCCAGCGGCTGCCAGCTGCGCGCCGCCAGCCTGCGCGCCGAGAGCCGCGGAGAGGAGGCCATCACCCAGGTCAGCAAGGGCACCTGCGAGCAAGGTGGGCAACGAGCGCATCCCCATCCCCCGGGCCACCGCGTGCGCGCGGGACCCCGCCCTGCTCCGGGCGTGTGCGCGGTTTTCTGGAGAGCTTTCGGCGCGCGGGCCAGGACAGCGAGAACCGGCAGGTTGGCGCGCGTCCGAAAGATTTTTTTTATCTGAGCGCTGAGACTCCTGCTGCAGGGAAGCCCGGGTCTGTCGTTTTCTTGGCTTGGGGTGGGGAGAAGGGAGTTTGTGCAATCGGAGCGTCGCTTCCGGAGCGAAGTCGTCTGTCCCAAGCTTTAGTTGGCTGTATGCTAACAGTTTCCAAAGTCAGATTTCGTGTTTCTTGGTAGTAACAGAGAGGGAAAATTTCATTTGGTGGAAACTACCCTTGCCCCCACCATCCCCTAGCCAACTAGTTACAAACTCTTGAAAGAATGTTTTGCCGCGTAATCTTGTGAACCTGCTGTCTGTTTTATTTTACTTTCTTGTTCCTTTTAGTCTGTGGGCTGCAGCACGGCCTTTGGCGGGTGGGATGCCAATGAGGCTTTTTGAGAGTTTATTTCATTCCCGACCTATCCAGACTTGCCGTAAATGAAATAGGAAAGCAGACAGCGCTGACTTTCAAAAGCAAATTAAAAAGCAGGTTTGAACTCTGATGCCTGGAATAGCATTCTCCGTCGGCAGTAGTTTCCAGGGAAAGTTGGACACTCTCACTGGCAGACTTTTGCCTGCTCCCAGTGGGAGGGAGGCTGGGCAGGAGGGAGGCGGGCAGGGGGGAGGCGGGCAGGCAGGAGGAGGGGTGGACAGGAGGGCAGCGTTTCTGAGCAGAGCTGTGGCTGTTTTAGGCTAGGTTCCCTCCAGCATTTCCAGATGCATGAATGGCTCTTGAGAGCTTTTCCCGGAAGTTCAGGACACTTGAAGACCTTAAATCCAGGAATCCCTGTTAGCTGTGGGCATGACTTTACAGTATCATGACTTTACAGTATCATGACTTTACAGTTAAAGAAAACTTATATGGCAACCCCAAAATGTCTGCATGGCTTCGGAAGCAGATGTGGGCTCTGCTGTCGCACTGGCCACTCTGTCCTGGGGAGAGAAATGAGTGTCACTTTGAGGGTTTATTTCAAATATTGCCATGTGCTTGTGACGGTGCCCTGGGAGTTTACACACACACAGAGGCAGGTGCACGGCTTGAGAGTGAGCTCGTGGCTTTGGTGCTTCTCCTTTTCCAGCCTGTAGCTTTTTTCCTTCCTTCTCGCTCAGACTACTGCCAACGCACAGTGCCACCCGAGCAGTGGGGAGAAGCCCGAGTTCCCTGGCTCTTGGATGGGCTTGGACAGTTCTCAAAGCCGGCCCTGCAGAACACACTTGACCTCCGTGCCATTCTGTACTGGGGCTTTGCCGAGATGAGGAAATGCATTTTCTGGTTTCTTCGGCCATTTCTCAGGAAATTTGTAACTTGTGTACTGCCAAGGAGGAGGCACTGCGGGTAGGGGTCGCTCTGCCTTCAGTTCTGTTGATCTTCCGACACACCCTGGCTGAGCAGCTGGCTGGTGTTGCGCGGTGCTAATGCCATGTAAGCCTGCAATACTAAAATCAGGTTTTGCTGGCACATGCACAATATGTGACTTGCCAGGACACTTTCCCGCTCCCTGAAGTGACTCCCAGTCTTCCCTTCTTTGCTTTTCCTTTGTAAGATCTGTTTGTTAGGAAGGTGATCAAAGATTGAGATCTTCTGTCCTTTGGTTCTCTGCCCAAATGGCCAGGCTGAAGCCGGGATCCAGGAACTCCGACCTGGTGTCCCATGTGGGCGGCAGGGCCCAGAGCACCTGAGCTGTCTGCTGTTCTCCCAGGAGCATCTGCAGGGAGCTGGATCAGAGGCAGAGCAGCCAGACCAGAACCTGTGTTTTGACAGGCATCACAAGCAGCAGGCTTAGCCTGCCCCCCTCCTGGAACCACCCAAGGAAGGTTGGTCGGATTGCTTTCTGAATCTCGGCATATGAGGCAAAGGGTGAACGCAGGGCGGGGGGATTGGACCGCTGGTAACACGGAGCTGATGCAGAGACGCTGTGATGGTCTCACAGGCCGAGAGAGCAGGTGCTCCGTCCTGCCCATTTCTGTCTATAGCCTCAACACCCAAGAGGCTTGGAAATCCGAGATTGCTTTGGCTGTGTGATCCCTCTGGACGCCACCCTCCCTTCTCCCTCGGAACTCACTTTAACTCACGTGGTCCACCCCTTGGTTCTTGTGCGGCTGTGGCAGAGGAGAGGCTGCACCGTGTACCAGCCTTCTGCCGTCATGGCCTCGTCCCTCTGACCCCCTTTGGTGCACCAACCACAGGCAGTGGCTGCTGCGTCTGTTCTGATACTCCTACTTCTGGGGACACTGCGCCTCCTGCGTGGACCGTGTCCCCGTCTCTGTGCACATGCGTACCTACTCACACTGCACCCGGCCCCTGCGCCCTTCCTTGTCTTTCCTTCCCAAGCGCTCTGACCTGGCTGTAGTCTCGGATGCACCTGCGCCTCCCCAGTGTGCCAGGCCGTTGTCTGTAGGAGTCAGGGTAGCAGAATGGCTAAGCTGTGAGCTCCAGTGCTCACTCCTTGGTTGCGGACCCTGACCGCTTAGACACCACAGCCTTGAACCTGAGCCAGTTCCCTGAGGTTCCTGCCTGAGGGTTGGCCGCCTTAGAAAGTGCAGCTGTATCCATGCCTGCCCCACAGGGCTGTCCTAAGGACTGTCCACAAAAAGCCCTCGGTGAAGGCGATGATGTGGTTGTTCCCAATAGGCACTTGTCTTATGCTGCAAAACTTTGTTGCGCCAAAATGCACTTAGAGTTTTTGAAGTACCCTTGTGTGTCCCCAAAGCCTGAATTGGTGCCTGGCATGAGTGGAGCACATGGATGGCTAAGTACCTGAACTGGCCAGCCTGTGCCCACTGCCCCACCTCCCCACCCCCACTGGACTGTGGCGTGTCAGAGGACTCCACCTTGCCTCAGGCTTCCTTACAGACTGGCAGCTTTGTAAATATTTGTAGGGTAGACAAAGGGGTCCCCTGAAGGAAACGCCTGCCCAGGGGCGGGCATGGCCACTCCTGCCAGTAGGATTCTCCTGAGCTGTGTGCCCCCAGCAGACTCTGTCCTCAGCTGGCCTGAGTGCTGGCAGTGGATGGCCAGTCCGCTCCCCGCGGGGACTTTTTCCAGGTGCATTGGCAGGGAGCTGGATGGGAAGTGGAGCAGCCGGTGCCCATTTGGGATGCCAGCGTCACAGGCAGCAGCTTTGCCACAGTGCTGCAACACCAGCCCTGTAGGAAAGATCTGAAGAACTGGAGAAACTGCAGAAAAGAGTTCACCTTGAAGGAGGGGACTTCAGAGTGCCTAGGGGGAAAAAAGCCTAATAACAAGCTAAGGTTTCTACGGAAGGGATTAGTGAATGAAGGGTGGGGGCCTGGGTTAGGGCTCCTTAAGCCTCTGAATGCCTGGAGTTAAGTAGCCCTGAGGTGCACAGCCCAGAGGACGTGGGCCAGTCCCAGCCAGTGTGTCACATGCTCCCAGGGGAGTCAGGCAGGGGAGCATGGCCTCCTGAGAGTTTTCTGTTGCCTCCTTCCCGGGGCACTGCCGTTCTGAGGGGTGGTTCAGGGTCACCGGCCTTGCTGGACAGCCTTCAACACCCTTTCCTCTCAGCTGCTAGAGCCTGCCCTGCGGCCCTACAGCCTCAAGGAAGCTGCCTTATAAGGCTGTCTTCTGGAAAGTTCAGACAGGCAGAGAGCACACTCCCTCCTGAGCCGGCCAAGTCCAAGGCCACCAGCTCCCTGGAGTCTTCCATCCGCTGCTTCCTGTGCCCTCGGGCTGCCTGCGGAGTTTCCCACTGCACTGGAAGGGTTGTGTCCTGTGTTAATAGAGGGACCCTGAATTACTGCACAAAACCTTCTAAGCCAGGAGCTGGATGAGTGTAACTGAAGAATGGGCACAGGGAGACGAAGGTACATGGATGTCAGTTAATGCACCTGCTGATTATAGGCAATTTGAACGATTTCCCAGGAGCTCTTGACTCTAAGAGACCTTGATGAACCAAGGGAAGTGCCCCTGGTCTGTCCTCGAGGGGTTTCCCCTGGTTGTCCCAGACCGTCTAGGCCCAGGGAGGCCGCTGAGAAAGTGGGGTGGGAGAGAGGTCAGGGACAGGGAGCTCTTTGATTTCAAATTGGATCAACAGCTGAAGGATGCCGGCCCTTTCAAAAAGCCAGCTTGTGGAATTTCCCTGGAGGACAGCGGGGTGGGCGTGGCTGAGCCGCAGCAGCCGCTGGATGGCACGGTGAGCCCGCCCCCTCGAGGCCCCACCTGGTGCCGGCTGGCCAGGGTGCTGGGCCCCAGAGCAGGCCAGAGCTGCAGAGAGATCTCCTGGGTCTGAAAAGTTAGAAAGGTTCAGATGGGGTGAGTGTGCTGACAAAGCGCCATTCATGTGCGATGCAGGAGCAGCTGAGTCTACCTGTGGTCTAAGACTGCTGGAGACAGGAAGCAGGCAGAGGGCGGGGACAGCAGGCCCACCAAGACCGTGAGCTCTGGTCCTGCCGAAGCACCTGCAGGTGCGGCTCGCAGCTCTACACATCTGTAGCAGGTCGATTTTTTTTATCTATTTATTTTACAAAATGTTGACTGCATTATTTTGAATTCAGGCTCACAGAGAGATCTTAAGCTGCTGGCTCACTCCCCAAAAGGCCACAATGGCCACCACAGGGGCGAGCAGCTTCATCCGGGTCTTCCACATGGGGAGCAGGGCCCAAGCACTTGGGCCATCTTCTGCTGCTTTTCCCAGATGCATTAGTGGAGCAGCCAGAACACCAACAGGAGCACAGGTGGGATGCTGGCACCACGAACGAAGGCTTACCTTGCTGTGCCACCCCAAGACTGGTTTCTAAGCTGGTAATTTTGTTTGGCCTACAAGTGATGCATGGCCCATTTGCGGGAGGTGGGGGAGACATTCTCCACCCCTAATACTGTCTACCCCCTATGGGCAAAGACCC